ATCCAGACGCCCCCGCGCTATGGCTCCAACTCGCCCCAGAACCAGACGTCCAACCTGACGTCGGCTCTACGCCAGGCCGAGGCTCAGCCCGACATGGCCACGACGCCCGGTCTGCTCAACCCGAACAACTTCGAGTTCAACAATGGTCGCCCGAGCATAGGCGAGCGCCACCCCTCCATCAGCATGCTCGGCTCTTCTTTCTACGGCAACAGCGGCGCCCGCCCCATCACCATGAAGGACCGTGGGCGTCGCGAAAGCACCAATATGGGTAGCTTCGCAGGTGGCATGAGCTGGGGCGGCCACTCGGTCGGGTCTTGGATCCGCGACGAGTAAGTATCCACTTATCCCCAGTTGTAACAGCCCAAATTAACCTCCGCCCAGCATCATGATGGGTACCTCACCCGCGCCCTTTGTGCAGAACTCGCCCTCCTTCCACTCGTCGTCCTACCTGCCCAAGATGGAAGCCGCCTTCATGAAGGACTTCACATGCTGCGGCCTCACCCTCGCCTCCCTGCACGACCTCCTGCAGCACTTCGAGGAGACGCACGCCAACGCACCGGCCGCCCGCCCACAGCAGCAGCAGCAGCCACAGAACGGCTTCACAGCCACATCCGGTGCCCCGACCAGCTCCATTGCACCGAGCCAGACACAGGGCGACCCGGCCTTCAACACACAGAACGGCTTCCAGTCGCGCTCCGGCTCAATAGGCGCGCCCCGCCAGCGCATCGGCTCCGTCAGCCGCTCCAACTTGTCGACTGTGCAGGACATGGACACGCTGGACGACATGGACATGGACGACATCAACTTTGACAACCTCGGCCCCATCGAGGAGCAGCAGAACATGCAGCAATTCCCCGTCCAGAACCAGTTCAACCAGAACCAGAACCAGCAGCCCCAGCTCAACGTCAACGTCAACCTCGCCAACAACATGCAAAATCACCAGGGCATGCGCACATCGACGCCCACCACCCCGTCTGCCTCGCAGCAGTTCAACCTCCAGAACAACCCCACCGTCTCGTCGGTCAACACCCCCACAATGGGCACCATGCCAATGCAAAACCACAACCTGACATCGCCCGAATCTTCACACCCGGGCACTCCGGCTGAGCTCGACATGGACTTTGGCGGTTTCAACCCAATGATGGGCATGGACATGAACATGAACATGGGCATGAACTTCGCCAACGGCAACGGCAACTTTGGCATGGGCGCATTCGACAACAACGGCACAATCGACCAGCCCGGCAAGCGTCTCTTCAGCAAGCAGGGCGGCGGTCTGAACCAGGCCCAGCTGCAAGCTGCGCTCAAGAACTACCAGCTCAGCGGAAACGACCAGAGTGAGATGGCCAGGAGATTACGGGAGCAGCAGCTCATCAACGGCGCAAGCATACCCCAATTCCCCTTCCCCGAGGAGGTCAAGCCATTCCGGTGCCCAGTCATTGGTTGCGAGAAGGCATACAAGAACCAGAACGGTCTCAAGTACCACAAGCAGCACGGTCACCAGAACCAGCAACTCAAGGAGAACGACGACGGTACCTTTTCGATTGTCGACCCTCTCACATCCATTCCCTACCCGGGAACTGTCGGCATGGAGAAGGAGAAGCCATACCGCTGCGAAGTCTGCGGCAAGCGATACAAGAACCTCAACGGTCTTAAGTACCACCGCTCCCACGCCCCCCACTGCAACCCTGAGTTGGCGATGCAGAAGCTTGGTCTCACCTCAAATTTGCAAAATCTTCAGAACGCGAATGTCGCTGGTGCTGGAATGGGCATCGACCCCTCCATGTTCTAGAACTCTACTTCTTCGGATCGCTCTCCATGCGTCTCCCAACCTTCTACTCTTCTCCCAATACCCCGATCTTCGATATCCGCGACGACGCTTGCAGCTTCGCCATAGACATTTTGTTTCTTTATCGGCTGATGTTGTTCAGCAACAACACGAAAAAAGTCATGACTCGTCCCGTCCCTTGTTCTTGCATCTACCTGGCGTTACACTTGGATTGGGGGATTTGTCTACCAAACCATTCAGCCAGGCCTGATATCTTGGATAAAGCGACTCTTTTGGCTCCGCCCACGTATTTCGCTTCCTTGTACATCCTCTCGAGATTGTACATCTTCCTTTTGAACCGGCGGTGGCGGTATACACAGCAGCGCTTAGTAACGACGAATTCGATGTGCATTACAGAGGTGTTATGAGTTGGCTATCTTTTGCTTTCAAATCGTCTTTTTTTTTCTACGCGGAATATCCCCCTGAGCTTGATAGACTTGGGTCTCTTTTCTCTCTTTTTCTTCGAAACGGCGTTCTCCTCTATCGCAGAGTACACAAAAAGTTATTATCTAAAACAGGACCTTGATCCTTGAGTTCTACAGGCGTTTTCGATTTTCGGAGATAGTTGATAGACATGACGGCTATCCTGACAAGTACATCTTGGAGGGTCCCGTAATACCACACTCTACATACTTCACACACTACTATCTGGTTCCTCCGTCAACCTCATTGTTCATTTCCCGACTATGTTGTAATGAGGCTCGACCATCTAACATGCGCGCTATCAAGCGGGGTCGAAATCGCTAACCTGACTACACATCTGTATCGCTGTATGCTTGTCGGATTTCACCACTGTTCGCCCACGACACTATTCACCACTTGGCTCCCCCCTCAACCTCATCGTTCATCTCCGGACAATTTCGTGATGACGCTCATCCATCGGACATGCGCCCTTCCAAGCCGCGTCCAAACATCGCTAATCTGGCTACACATGACTACCGACCGGACCCGTCGCCTGTTCGGTGTAGCGCGCCGTTTGGTTCTTACCACCAACTTGCGCTACCAACGTACCGAGGGATACGCCACCGCATTCGTACAATGGGTTCCCTTGCACACGAACAACCACGAGGTACCCTCATGCCAAGGTTACAACATCCCGCTACGTACCAGCCATCACATGCCGATGTCTTGCCACTCGCCCGGTCCCTCAGGGTCACAGCTTACCATGCCACGTGCCATAGTAGTAGTGCTGGCGTTCTGACTCGTCCGCGCGCCTCAGCCGCCAAGAAAACGCTTTGTCCCGCCACAGGCCGCCGCTCCATCGTCGTTCTGCTGCGCGTCATGCAAGCGGACTGCTGTTTGGGGACAAGGCTGGTACGTGAGCATTGACAACTCCAGGGCTGTCAGTCCGCCGCCAGCCCTAGTTTAGGTCGAAAGGGTAGGTGCAGAGCCGCATGACCTAGCTTGTAGGGTCTATTGGTTTTGGCCTCGACACACTCCCGCCCCGGCTTTGTTGTGTGTGTGGACGCGCACGCCGTAGTTAGCCGGGAATTGAATAGCCCGACTCTCAGCCAATAGACGCGTTGCCACGAGACGGTGCTCCAACGACTGGGGAAAATATCGAACTATTGATGTGGAAGTCAGATGGGGAGAAAGAACGAGAACGAACGATGCAGTATTGCTGGAAATCGTTGGGAAACACCTCGGGAGGAAGAAAGGGTGTGGACATTGAGCTGACATATGTACGTATGATGATCGACGCAGAGCCGCGTTTACGTTACCGGCGATTTGGTAGTAATCGACAGAGCAGCGAATCGTTGATCTCGTGCTGTGGGGTGCCCACGAACCCTTTTCTTCCTCCAGCGATCAGATCCTACAAAAGTTCTTCCGGAGTACAATGACGGACGCACACGAGTCTTTGCCCAATACAGAGACATGTGCATGGGTGGGAGTGATGCCGTGTTTAATCTCCGCTCGCACTGCGAGCTATGCAGTAGTAGTAGTAGTAGAGGCACCCGCTACATGTCTAACAAAAACATGCCCATGTGTAGACGCGGGTGTTACTGGGGCTATCAAGGTTAAAGCGGGGCAGGGTGAGTTTCTATTACCCCCAGATAATTCTACTTGGAGTTAAGTAGAAGAAGTGGGCATGAAAGCACGGTGACTAGACGGATAGAACCACCCTGCTAAAATATTCTAAAATATTGAAAGGTGTTCTTAGGTTCTTCTACGCGCCGAGAAGGATTTGGAGCTGCATATGTATTGACAGGACTAAGGGAACTAAACTTAAGGGATGTTTAGGACGGCACATCAGTAGCGGTGTGCAAGGAAGGGTGCAGATGCATGTAGGGATATATGGGGATGGGTGGACGGATGGAAGGATGTGGAGAATGTTTAGGATGACTTGTGACGCGGTTGGTATGCAAGACATTCTTTGGTTCGCAGGGAGGTGGGCGCGATGGGCATGAGTGCATCTGCATGTGCGTAAGTGTTGGTGTGGTGGTTGTCAGAATTTTGGCGAGGCGGGGCGGGGCTAGGAGTAGGTAGTGTAGGCGGGACTTGGTGGGTATAGTTGCGACGACGGCAGTTTGGTGGTTTGGTGGTGACTGTGTGCTTTCCAAGGTTGAGAATGGACGAGGTAAGTTGAGAGAAGTACCATCTCATCGTTGTGTGACTGTCATCGTATATCGTACCAGATCTTGGTGATGCGTCACACGAAGAGCTGGGGGCACTTAAGAACGCGGCATGGATGGGTTCAAGCACGCAGCGCTCAGACCATCGCGCTTTCCTAATCAACCTCCCACTTTCCACGCGCAATATCTTCACATTACTTCTGAGTCGTTCACCATCAGTTGTACGACGTCGCCAAGCGCTGACTGACAACTACAAAGCACCTTGGCGCTTATACAAAGCGATGTAAGCTTGCCGTGCTGTGCCACACAATCGACTTGGTACTTTACCGAGATAATATTGCAAGGGATGTCTCGAGATGCGCACCGCAGCCGCGGCTGAACCGGATATCTTGCCCATCACATGCCAGATCGCAACAACGTTACCCGGTAGCTGGCATTATTACAACAAACGGGTATCACCATCTCCCATCTATTCAGTGTCGTCTTTCCTACACCATTGCTCTCCCGCTTGCTCCATCTTCTCGATCGTAATAACGCGCTATGTCTGCGTCGGGCATGGAAGAACCGTCGTTCCATCCTGTTGCGCGTGCGCCGGCGCCATGGAAACTCACGGCGGAGGTATATATGCTGTTTCATGTGTTGAAGGAGTTGCCGGAGGGTGTGCATGGGGAGCTTGAGGGGAAAGAGGGTGGGTGGGATGATGAGGCGATGGGGAGGTTTGAGGGGGGGTTGGGGACGGTGTGTATTGTTAGGTATAGGGATACGCCTGTTGGTATGTGAGATGTTTCTTGTTTTTTGGGATGGGTGGGGATGTGAAAGGGTGGGAAGAGGGAAGGTTGTGGATGGAAGGGATGGTGGATATTGGATGTCAAACGAGAATTCTTTTGAGGGATGGGAATGAGCAGGAAGAATACACTAGAAGACAACACGAGATGATAACAGTTATAGCAATTCCTCTAACATCATCACAGGCCCCTACGACGAACTCCTCCTCGTCCCCGGAAACTTCACCGTCCCACAACCAACAACCTCCCCATCCAGCCAGCCACACATCAAAATTCCAAAGAAAGCCCAACGCATATCCCGCATCTACGTCTCCCAACGCACAACAACCTACAACGGGCGCCTAAACTGGAACATCCCCAAACAGCTCGCTCGCTTCTCTTTCTCCGCACCTCCAACCCCACCCGGCGCCTCGCCCCCATCCACTCTCACCGTGCAAGTCTTCCCGCCCGGCACCAAAGAAGGCGATGGCGGCGCCCCGTTCTTTGCTTGCACCCTCAAACCCTGGCAATGGGTTCCGCCCATACCGTTGAACACGAAATACCTTCCACTTAGCATGGCCGCCGCGCAACCGCCCCTCCCATCTGCGCCGGGTCACGAGAAAGCGGTTAAAGAGGTGCAAGAAGGACTACAGATAGACGACTACGACATAGACATTAAGAAAATGGACGCGGTGCTAGTAGGAACGCAGAAGTGGCGGGCGTTTGATATTGCAGCGGTCACGCCGAGGGCGCGGGGGTGCTGGGTTGAGGTGCATGAGAAGAAGGAGAGTGAGGTTGTGGAACAGGGTGAGGAGAATTGGTGGCCGAGGGGACTGGGGGCGTGGAGTGTGGGGGCTTGGATGGAGGATGTGGATTGGAAGTTGGGGGAGGTGGTGGAGTGGACGGCGTAGGTATACGATGACGTATGCGGAAAGAGCGGAAGTCATATCTACCGACCGACTCTTTTCTGTTCATCCAGGTAGGCGCTGGAATGCGGTGCGTTTTACTATGTCTTCTCATCTCGTGCAGTGAGGGTTGAGGAAGTGCAACGCCGTTGGGTACGTGAACTGTTTGCTCATCTCGGGTACTGAGAGCGTGGAGCGAACGCTGATGGTTTCGAATCGAAGCGTGTGGAAGTGAAGGGCGCGCCTGCTGTGCGTTTGTTTACACTGCCTAAGTGCAGCTGCCTTGAAAGCGCGCACGAGCGCAAACCACGTGGGATTAGATTGGACCCTTCATTGTCACTTTACTGTCACTTTGCTCTCAGTCTAGCAATATCAGGTACAGGAACCGCGCGCATACTCAACTTCAATCACACTATATTCACTCGCGTGTATTACTCTTTTCACATTCAGTTAGCCTCTACCTCCGTACACAACACCAAGCGCATGCCACTCAAACGCATGTTGATATTGGTGAGTGTGCGCCAAGTGAACCCTCAATCTGCAATCTCAACTAACATGGATACAGTCAGTCATATTGATAGCGATACTCTTCATCATGATGCGCTCTTTCTTGCCGTATGACGTCCGCTGGACAGCCAAGCTTCTCCACCGCGATGTACGCAACCTCCGGGCGAAGTACACTACACGATCGAAGCACCAAGGCGGTCCTGTAGACGTTGCGAGAAGCAGCTCGGCGCACCAACAGGCTTGTACCAGGAACGTATCCACAACTGCCGCAAGGTATTCCGTGCAGCAAACCGTCATCACAGCATGTCGGCCAAGACAGCGTATACTCCAAACCTTGGAACCACCCCAAAATAGTCCCGGCACTCCCCAAATCAGCATAGAGAACTGTCCCGGTACACTCTACTACCTCCTAGAAAACAGACTTAGGGCTACGTATGATTCTCGTGACCGCCACATGTCGCACGAAGACCGTTGGAGATTCCGCGGTAGTTGGCTAGTGCTCCACAGAGCTATCCAAGGATGTCGTCCGGACGAGAGCGACGATGCCTCCAGCGTCGGCACGGATAAGGCCAGCGAGAATACAATGCTTCTAGATATGCTGAACCAAAGCACTCGATCGTCTACACCCAAGGTCAGTAAGATGCGAGCTGCACCATATACCCGACATGGCAGCGACCATGATCGCTATGACTCTATGTTTGGCGATGCTCCTACATCCACACTCACACCGTCTCCCGCGCATCTATGGCTTTCCATTCTTGAAGCCACCGACGACACCCAGAAGATCGCACCAATGGCTGAACAGCTCCTGGGGTACATTTCGCAAGAGAAGAAAGCTTTCGACATCATCGAGCAGGTCGGAAACCCCCACAAGAAGTTTTCCGATGCCGATGACGCTCAACTCCGACTTCAATTCCGAGAATTACTATGTCCGGAGGCATTGTCGTCCAGACCATCATGCTGACTTCACCGCCAATGTCCAGCACAGTCTTGGTTCTCGGCGTCTAGGGCGAATCATGCACCGTGTCGGAATAGAGGTGTGCTGAAAACCCTTCGTCGGCAGCGGGCGATACCGCATTGCGAGTGGTTGCCGAAGCGGCAGAGTGGGTCTATTGGTCATGGCTCTTTACCCCTCCTGTGGCATCCAACGTACTTATACCGCTCGGGGAGCTCGACTATGCAACACCAAACCGCTCGGGGAACCACAATCTGTGATTCAAATTCGGCGCGCATCATCGATTGGGAGGTACTTCAAGGCTGCGAGGACGCTTTTCGGGGACTGTGCAGGAGCTTGCGACATCTTTCACGCCTTTGACATCAATTTGCAGCGCAACAACGCGCATCGTCATACATATTAGACGAAACCTCCCCCCAAACCAACTCGGCCCTTCGTATGAGCAGCGAACCAAAAGGCAGCACGCCAGGATCACTTAGCCCACACAACAACTTGACTAGAGTCAACACTTATCCTCACGCCGAATTTACCATCCCGCCATCGGACACGCTGTCACCATGCCCAAGTGCCCAAACTCACAACGCCGATGCCCCGGCATCGGCCAACTCCAAGGAGAATCGCCCAAGCAGCACTGCAACTGGAGATGAAAAAGCCCACCGACCTCTTGATGAGGAATCTCGATCAACATCCATCGCTAATGACGAAGTAACCTATCCAGAAGGTGGCCTAGGTGCCTGGTCGGTTGTTCTAGGGTCATTCCTTGGACTCATCGCATCCTTGGGTATGATGAACACAGTCGGTATCTACCATGCCTACATTGCCGAGCACTACCTTGCGGACTACACCGAGTCGACCATCTCGTGGATCTTCAGCATGTACGTCTTCCTGTCGTTCTTCTGCGGACTTCAGATTGGACCCATATTCGATGCGCACGGCCCGAAGCTATTGGTGCTGGCAGGTAGCATCCTACTGTGCTTGTCAAACTTCCTGCTCGGGATTTGCACACTGTACTGGCACTTCTTCCTCGTCTTCGGCGTGCTTGGGGGTCTCGGTACATCGTTGATCTTCACGCCTGCGTTCGCTGCAGTCAGCCACTTCTTCCTGCAAAAGCGAGGCAACGCAACGGGTATCGCCGCAGCTGGAGGCTCGCTGGGTGGTGTCATATTCCCGCTGGCGCTGGAGAAGCTGCTACCCAGGGTAGGCTTCCCATGGGCGACTCGCATCATCGGCTTCATCACGCTCTTCTGCTGCATTGGTGCCTGCTTCCTGATCCGCTCCCGCCTACCACCCAAAGCTGGACAATCAGTATGGCCGGATTTTCGAATCTTCCGCCACAAGAGCTACTTCCTGCTCACGGTCGGCATCTTCATGATGGAATGGGCACTCTTCATCCCGATCACTTACCTTACAACATTTGCGGTCAGTACTGGCGCATTCAGCCCGTCATTCTCGTACCAACTCATCGCCATCTTCAACGCGGGAAGCTGTCTTGGTCGATGGGTTCCAGGCTTCCTAGCCGATAAGCTCGGGCGCTTCAACAGCATGATTGCTGCACTCGCCATTTGCTCAGCTACATCGCTAGTCTTCTGGCTGCCCGCATCGCTACTCACCCCCACCTCCGCGGCCGAAGCTACGGCTATCAAAGCACTCTCCATTGTTTACGCGGTCTTATTTGGTTTCGCATCTGGCTCCAATATCTCATTGACGCCAGTCTGCGTCGGCCAGCTTTGCGATACGAATGTCTACGGCAGGTACTACGCTACTTGTTACACCGTGGTCAGTTTCAGCACGCTTACCGGTATTCCTATTGCGGGTGCTATCATCCAGGCCACTGGTGGACACTACTGGGGAGTGGTCATCTGGACCGCAGCTTGCTACATCGTGGCGTCACTTTGCTTTGTGTGGAGTCGCGCACTCCAAGTTGGCTGGAAGTTGGGTGTGAAGTTCTGAGAGTGGTGTTGGCGGCCACGTGGGGTTGCGGGGAGGTTGAACGTGCAGCGACTTACGTACTCGTCGTTGCCGTTGGAATGCGATTCGATCGCTGTAACAGGAGGACGATGCAATACGAAGGGGACACAGATTGGAAAAAGAAGGCGGGAATTGCTTTTGCGCACTTGCGTACTCGACTGTGGACGGCGGTTTCGCGTCCTCTTACACTCTTTACTTGATTTTAGGACGATCTTCGCGGGCATAGTACACGAAGAATAAACACTCTTTCTTGCGCATGATCTTAGCAAACCGGCTCCCATTTTGAGTTTCAACGTGATACCAAGCTTGCGGATGATCTCCCGCTATTCGGAGCAGCCACCGCAGCTGGAATGAATCCCTTGCCTGGAAATTCCCATGCATCACCGCGGCTAGAATTCGACTTTTCGTCCAATCTCCACTCAATAAACGCCTGCACACTCGACAACATTGTTGCGGAAACATTGTACCCGTAGCACTGGCGCCGTCTACTTGGCCAAGGACGACGGCGCGCAATAGCGAGGCGATGGAGGCCACTTTACCCCTGAGCCAATCCAGCTACAAACACGTGGGTCGGCTAGCGAAACGCCGCAAGCAGCACCGGGCGCACCTCCCTCCGAACATCGAGCGCGAAAGTATCGCGTCCTCCGTCGCCATTGACTTTGCTTGTTGTTCTGCCTCGCGTCCATCGCCGTCACGACGCATTGGCTTGCAGTGTCCAACAGCAAGATCTGCACCGCGCCATTGCCCCTCTATAGTTAGTAGCGTCTCCGTCATTCGCGGACCGTCGCGAGCAAGCCAAGCGAAAAGACAACTGTACAACGCCTCTGGGATTCCTTCTGAGATGATTGACAACAGCAAGCGCTGTAGCCTGCAGGGAAGCGCTGCGGCGATCGCCCCAGGCGCACCGTTCCGCGAGAATGCGAGTCGTACACCTGCCGTCGACTGAATCCAGGCACCTAGCTACCCGTTTCGGGACTACATAGAGGCGCGATTAGGTTTGTAGCACGACAAGGCACCCGTTGTTGGTAATTGAACCATGGCTCCTAGCGGTAAGCAAGGCGAAATGGCACGACAACCGCGACGAGAATGACTTGATTCGTGGGCGCGCCACGATTTCAGCTCCTCCAATTTGGCAAAAAGAAGGGGAAAGGTGGGGAGCGTACTTGTCAAGCTCCTGTCGCTCTTGTAGCTTTCTTCTGCGGTGGGTACCCGGATGCTTTTCCTTACCCTGCATATTTTCTTTTGTCGCTATCCTGAACCCTGATTGTCTGCTTTATCAGGCCTTGATGTCAGGTCGCGAGCATGAAATCTAAGTCTTGCGGTTGCCTTACTAGCAGATACTCAAGCGACATGGAGCCCCCAATTCCCCGCAATATCGACCTTGATCTGGATCGGGACACGACGAGGCCGACTGCGTTGAAACGAAAGGGTTCAACACTACAAACATCGGTGGAGGTTATGAGATGCAAGTTCGGGAAGCCAGCGGGATCACCGGAGGGTGCTGGCGAGTTCAAGCCATCGAAAGATTGGACACCGATATACTATGCCGTCTACCACCAACGAGAGGCAGCGCTTTCACATTTCCTCCGCGCTGGCGCAACACCGAATGATGCCGCTGGCTTGGGACTACCACCGTTATGCATCGCCATCGCCAACGGCTACGCGAGTCTGGCGAGAATACTGTTAGATGCTGGTGCCGATGCCGATGCTGTGATCAAAACCAGCGGCGAAACAGCCCTTCACATAGCCGTCAAGAATGGTCGCAGCGATCTCATCGAACTTTTGATCCCATACGGACCCAACCTCGAGACGAAGACGAACGACACCGGCGAGACATCCCTCCACTACGCAGCGTCAAAGTCCGGATCATTGGCCACAGTCATGACTTTGCTCAAGCATGGCGCTAGCTACGAAGCGCTCAACGGTCTCGGTCAGACGCCAGCCGAAGCTGCCCTACACGCCAACAACATACAAGGCGCCGTAGCGATCATCAACGCCGCACATGGCAAGCGCAACAAGCTCGAGAAAGAGAGGGAGCTGCTGCTGAAGCACGTGAAGAAGACACAGGGCCGTTTCTCCGTAGGCAATGACCTCATCGCGGATATCTTCGCCGCAGCTTGCGATTCAGAGTCCAACGTCCTTGTGGAGGCCATCAAGAGAGATGACGCGAGCTTGGTGGAGATGTTTCTAGAGAAAGGCTCGGATCCGGATCGAGAGACCGCCAACGGCCTTCGTCCCATCTTCGTCGCATTGGAATGTGCCGGTGCGCCAGTAATAAGTGCACTACTGAAGCGCAACCCGGATCTCACCATCCGCGACAGAAAGGGCCTTACTGTACTCCAGGCCACCTTCGAGAGCCCACTAGCCCAAGAGAAGGAGACCATGTCTATCATTCTGGGTGCTCTGCTTGAGCAGGGCGCTGACGCAACAGTGACATACCCGGACGGCAAGACACTGCTTCATCATGCCGTATCTCCTCGTTTCAGCCATCCTAAAATCGCGCTTCAGCTCATCGACGCTGGCGCTGAGGTCAATGCGAGGGACCAAGACGGCGACACGCCTCTCCATCTCGCAACGCACAGTAGAGTCTGCACAGAGCTGTTGCTAAGACAAAGAGCAAACGCAGATCTTACTAATGCTGAAGAGCTTACGCCTTTGCTCAATGCTACAACGAACAGTACAAAAGACCAGGAGCCAGATCTGGAGTCGCTCATCAAGGCATCTGACCTCCGCAAGACCAACATGAACGGACAAACAGCGCTGCATCTTGCCGCATCCAATGGATTGGAGGCGACTGTGCAGTCATTACTACGAGCCCGGGCAAACACCGCCATCGGCGACAAGGACAAGAACACGCCGCTTCTTCTTGCCGTAAAGCATCACCAATGGTCCATCGTACCACTGCTCACGATACCACCGAGCATCAACTCCTGGGATGAAGACGGCATGAGTCCTCTCCATCTCATTGCTTGCACCGTACCCAAAGCGCCGGCGACATGGAACGACATCGCCGCCATCGTTGGCCCCTTCTGCGAGCGCGGCGTCAGCCGGACTACACGCGAGCGATCAGGTGCTACACCGCTCATCCTTGCCATCAAGACACTACCGGAGGACGGCTTACCCGTGATCGAGGCCTTGCTAGCACAGAAGGCGGACCGCAAAGCGAGTCGGAACTGCGTCAACCACGAAGATCACAAGAAGCAAGATGCGCTGTTCTACGCGGTGACGACAGGCAAGCCCATCTTCGTAGATGCGCTGCTCAAGCATGGTGCCACATTCGACTTTGAAGACTGGGTGCCTGCTAAGAGCAAGTTGCAGCTTTCGGTGGAGGCCGATAAGCGAATTCTAAAGCTTTTTGCGCAGTACGAGTGGATGAAGCGCGCAGGGTTACTGCGAAGACGGCCTAGCAATCCTGTTGCGGAAGTCTCGTCTTTCTCCACGACGTTGCCTGTCAAGGACCTTGAGCAGATGGTCGCGATGGGTTTGGATGTGAATGCTTTACCGCGATCAGCTCTGGGCGTCTCTTTGATATGCGCGGTCCTTCGCCACATTACTCTTCACCCGCCAATGCCCGCGGAGTACGTCTTGAGCATACTCAATGTGGTTCTTGATGGAGGTGCGAACCCGAACGCGGGCATTCCTCGAAGCTCAATGCGTTCGTCGTCGCCACAGTCTGCGCCAGAGCCAACGCAGACCTCTGTTGTGACGCAGCATCCGCTCACATTCTTGCTTGAAGAGTGCCCGGAAGTCGCATTGGATGTCCTGATGCTGCTGGTAGTGAAGGGTGCGCAGCTTACTATCGCATCTCCGTTTTCCAACGGTCGCTTGCCACTTCACTCGGCGGTTGTGGCGCATCGCTTTGATGTGGTGCAAGAGTTCCTGCTGCACGGGGCGGACGTGAACAGTCTCGATAACAAGGGACGAACACCACTCTTCATGGCCGCTGAAGGTGGGGATTGGGAGATCTTGAACTTGTTGCTTCGGAGCGGCGCCCGCATGGACACGCTCGATGTAGAGAACAACACACCCTTGCACGCCGCAGCTGTCGGTGGCAATGACAAGATTGCCTCCTCCCTCCTCCTTGAAGGCGCCAAAGCAAATGTAAAGAACGTGGCAGGCCTAACACCCATGGCATGTGTAGGCGACAACTATTCCGAGGAAGGTCGGAGCCTAATCGTAGCCATGCTCAAAGAAGCCGAAGAGAAGGAGCAAAAAGACGAACAAGACCAACGGAACCGCATCGAAGCAACCGCCGCGCACGAAGCCAAGGTCCAGCAGCTAAAAGATGACGAAGCGAAAGCAAAGCTCCAACAAGAGCAAGACGCGCTCCTCCGCATCCAGAAAGCCAACGAAGAAGCCGCAGCCCAACGTCTACCCCAGCAACAACACCAACAGTCCCTCCCCGCCCCAATGCCCACATCACCACCACAACCCACAACTCGCAAACCCTCCTTCCTCTCCCGAAAGACCTCCCTCTTCTTCAACAAGTCCAAAGCTGCGACCCCACAACTCCCTTCAGATACCCTCCCCAAACCAAAACAAGCATCCCTCCTCCGTCTCCGCATCAACACCCCACCCACCAAGCCCCAACCCCTTCACCCAAACTCCGACCTCGAACCCCCCATCATCCCCAACCGCGCCATCCCCTCCCCCCACATCCTCGCCAGCCCCGACTTCTTCAGCACAGAATTCAACAACATGATGGATCCACGGCCTGTCATCGCGCTGCCGGCGGCGATACAGCGGCGCACGACTGCGGCGAGAGTGGATAGTGGGTTGAGTGAGAAGCGGGGAAGTCGGAGTAGTAGTAGTGTGATGGGGATTTTGGATTTGGAGATTGTGAATGAGAAGTTAAGTAGTCCGAAGGTGGTTCAGAGGGAGAGTGGGGGGGAGTTGGCGGATTGGTTGGCGTTGACGAGGTTGATGGATGGGTTGTGAGAGGTTGACGTCTCTTTTTTCTTGAGATTTTCACGACTTCTTTTTTGTTTATACCACATCTTCTTCTTTTTGCTTCTTCGATATTTCATAGCTTTTACGTTGGCGATATCCTTGCGGCATATCTTGGAGTGCGCTTTCCTTTGTAGTAGTGGTACTTGCCTGGAGGTATACGATGCTAGGATGTACATGTTGATACCCGGACTTTTGATTGTGTACAATACACTTGTTGACCAACTGTCCCAGTTGGTCGCCCTGTTGCAATTCAAGTGCGTACATCAATTGCTATCGAATCTACCCCGTATCCCAGGCGTTTGAACCTCATCTACGTATGCCGTGCTCTCATCCTTCAACTTCCTCCTCCTCGTCATCGTCCTCTTCCCAATCAAACGCACCCTCCTCATCACTATCCTCCAACAACCGATCAACAATATCATCCTGATTCTTCCACACCCGCTTCACAAGGTCGAAAACCCAATCCGGTCTAACCTCCACCTTCTCCGCGGCCTTCTTAAACCGCTCATGAACACACACCAACCCATTCTCCACGTCGTCATACGACGGCACTTTCGTCCTAACCACCCCGAGAACATCATCCTCAATCACAATATCCAATGTCTCGAGCTGAGCCTTTGCGATGTCGCGGAAGAAGTTATTCCAGTTGCCGCAAAAAGCGTTGACAATAGTCAGGTGTTTGAGACTCTGGTGGAAGTGGTTCAAACAGTCTGGGTGCCATAGAAGAACATCTGCCGAAGCTTCAAATCGTGGGTCGTATCGAATGGTTAGGGATTCAAGTTCTGCTGCCTTGCAGCCGTGGATGCTTGGACCCGGTTCGTTCTCAGATCTGACCTGGTTAAAATTTAAAGTCAGGTCGCGTAGGCTAGGAAAGCTGTCATTTGTTAAGAGTATTTCGGTGTGAACCGGTGGGGGAGTCTCTCGAGACCAGACATTTGTAGAGGTGGGTCTGTCGTCGATACTTCCCCCAATACGTAGGAATCTCAACGACAGGTGGTTGAGACATAGCTTGTTTGTTTGTGTAAGAACCTCGTGCAAAACGTACTTCGAGACGGAGGTCTTGAAGGATTGGAATCCAATAGAAGGTACTGGCATTGCGAAGTTGGTTGGGTGGATTTCGGCTCGCTGTAGAGCTCGAAGTGCAACGTCAAGGCCGATCATCATCCCGCTGTATGCGATGGCCTCCGAGCTTGCGTCTCGCTTTGATCCCCTGGCATATGGGCTCCTACATCCCTGTAAGCGGCCGTGCTCTTCACCAACTTCCTTGAAAAGCGTTTCGTAACGGCTCCAGGCATCGATCTCGGGTTCGACGAAGGCGAAAGTATGTAATTGCTTGAATGGAGCCAAGCTTTTCGCGATGGTGGTTATCAGCCCCTCTTTCGCTAAGACGTATTCGGCGACGGCATCATAATGCGCCCCATATAATCTGGGGTGTACGATGGAAGAGTACCATACTTTGCCGAAGATGGACTTATTTTCCTCTTTCAACTTTTCCCAGCGCGACTCCAGATCAGGTAGAACTATTGTTCTCAACCAACCCACGTTCATCTCTGAAGAAGATTCGGGAAAGAGGTCCTGTGCGTAGTTCCTACTCCCAGCTACCCTGTCGTTTTCCATCTCTTCTGAAAGCGTGGAAGCGTGCGCGAACCTTTCCAACAGGGCGGTTCTGCGTTGCATACGGAATCTGTCCTGAGCCGATACCGTACGTTCCGTGACTTCTTTGATTGCATTATTATGTCGATGGTTTGCTTCGTCTCTGAGAGCGACAGGATTTTCGTGATATTCCTCATAACAGCAAGTCATGCGAAGAGACTTGATCGCCTGGGCTAAGGCATCCACCTTGCTGATTTCACTCAACGAACGAAGATCATGGGGACTACGAATATCCCAAGCCTATGGTAAGATATCAATGTCAGCTGTGCCGATCGTACTAGACGACATTCCGCTGCCGGCACAACTTATCCTTGCGTCGAAGCTGGTGATGTACATACCTTCGCTTGAAGAGCCTCGACGAGGTGGGATTGGGCACATGCTTTGAATCGCTTGTTCACCAGTCGCATCACCGCCATTGGCGTGCCACCAGCGACCACCAAGTCTGTAATGAGGTTTAGTAGCTCGTTCGGTAGACTACCGAGTTGCGCTTTGTCATCGCCGATATCTGCCATAACCGCGTCTGTAGAGGCGGCCATTGTCGGCCCTGGAATGCTCTTTATGTATCCTAAGGATATTAAGTGTGAGGATGAAAAGTGAATGTTGACGTTCAAGACGGTAGCGAAGTATGTGGCACAGTATGTACCTCCGTCCACGGGTAGCAGTGGGGTCGTCTAGCGTGGCGCTAGCCGTCACGCAGCAGACCCTAGTACCAAATCTTCGAAGGCCTTCGCGTGCCAGCGTTCAGTACATCAGCGACGCGACGTAACGCACGGGGACTTTGTTAGTCGTTTGAACACATGCGGTGCATCGCAGTCACAGTAATGTATGTATTCATATCAATTCGTTGTCCCATATCATGGCTGCATACTACCGAGGGAACCCCACACTTTCGTAAATGCTCAATACGCCTGCAATGCCCAAATAGATACACGCCCATTCCATAAATCTCTACATATTTCATACGCTCAACGCAGCAGGAGCCGCCATCTCCTGCGGTGGGACGGCCACAGTTGCTTCTGGCTCCACTTCAGGCACCTTGACTCGCTTGGCCTCAGGCTCGTCATCATCCCGTTCCTTGCGCTTCTCCTTCCGCTCGACAGCATCGCCTTCTGGATTTGCTGCTTCCTTGACCCGAGCGCGCTTAGAAGCACGCGATTCGTTCTGCGGGATGCCCAGATGCTCGTCAACAACGTTGGCCTGCTGTAGCAAGTCGTCAACGTTCTCCAGGCCCAGCGCCTTGATGCAGTCCGTGTAGCACTTTGACTTGTTCATCGCCTGATACGCTTTCTCTTTCCCTGGTATCATCTGACTGAGCAGATACTTTGTGTTCCCCCACCGGTTCTCTACTTGTAGCGCGAAACGCATGTATTCGGTAACGACGGCCTTCCACTGCGACTTCCACTCGTGTGGCCCGCCTTCTGCGTCGGGTCGGAACACACTGGGGTTCTTCTCGGCTGCGGTTGCGATCATTGCGCCGTCGACGTTGAACTCTTCCGCGAGCTTGAGGGCTTCGGTGCGCGATGTGACGTCGCCATTCATCAGGCATGCGACGCCTGCTTCGTGGCATATCTCTCCAATCATCTTGAGTTGATCTCGGATCGCGCGCTCTCTCGGTCGCATGGGTGTAGTTCGACAGTGCACTGTGAGACCCGTAATGCCGGTGCGCACTAGTCTCTTGACCAATGCTGCTGTCTCTTCTGGCGTGTCCAGAATTCGGATCTTGACGCTAATGCCAATCTCGAATGGCTTTCCCACTTCTTCCACGAGGCTTGTCAGAATTTTGCAAAGCAAGTCTGGTGTCTTGAGCAACGCTGCGCCCATGCCGCCTGAAGTCGAGAATGGCTTGGGGCAGCCGGAATTGACATCAATGCCTGCAACATCCGCTGCGACCATCTTGGCTGCCTGGACTGCCAACTCCGGATTCGCCGTACCGATCTGATATATGAGCTTTCCCTTCTCCAGCTCCGGATGTATGCGGTATAAAACGCTTTCGCGATTCTCGGGATCGAGGGTGGGGTTTTTGATCTTCGAAGTCGGCAGGCGCGAGAACTCCAGTGTATTTGTGTGCGGGTTTAGTCGCTTCGTGGTGCCAATCATGGCGCGATCGATGGTTTCGGGTCCCCAGACCAAGTCGGCGCCGTACTTCAGCGCGAGGAGGCGTGAGGGCAATTCGCCGGAGCGCACCATGGGCGCAAGCACCACTTTGCCACGGTAGTCGACACCATTCTTTGGGATAGGGACGCGGGCGGGCTCGCTGGATGCCATGGCTCGTGTTATCGATCGTGATAGGGTTCGAAGCATAACATGCCTTCACAGAGGGCGGAGGTTTGATCAGAGTGAGTGGGGAGGGAAATCGTAGCGCGAATCTGAAAGTTCAGTGCACGTGCCTTCGTGGGTGGGGTTAGCGCGGGGGCGTCACTGCAGGTACCATTTGGCAGACATACAATCACCTCTCCTACTAACGCTTCACTACTGACATCACCTTCCGGACTAGATACTAAGCATTCAAATTTGGGTTTTCTGGGCCCTGAGAACTGCCACACGAGTTCTGACCGGTTAGATATTCTTTCCAGCACTGGAGCATCAAAGCTTTGATCACTTGGATCATCCTTGATCTAGCTATACAAATATGAAGTCTCTTCCTTCTACATTCCTCTCTCCCATCCTCTTACTAAATTCTTCATCAGATTCTCCGAGTGTTCCCTTCATGTCTTCTTCCTCATCATCATCATCTTCCGTGTCTTCATCATCTATGTCCTTTCTATACGTTATAAAGTCCAATCTTGGACGGCTCTGCGGCTCGTCCTCGTACACAGTTTCAGGCAGATATGCCTCCCCCACAAACTTCCATGTCTCTGGTTCATTGTTCCCGACAGCAGTATTCTTTCTGATGACGTGTAGTATCGGCGCTCCATTTAGTGCGACTAGCAAGTCACCTGGTCTTACACCCTGCGTCGTTGAGCTAAAATGGCCTTCTTTGGTTTCAAAGAACTGCTTTTCGGAGACCGTGCACATGGCCGCCAAGAATTTGTACGCATTTTCATGTCGGTGTCCTGTACTGAAGACCTGTTCGGAATCCTCCAGAAGACTGTGAGAAAGCGCACCTGTAATGTTTGTGTTGTTTCTGCAGAGCATGAATATATCGACTAATATTAGGAGGGATGGCCTACCTTTGGGTGATCATACCAGTAGTGGTTCTCCTCAGCTGTTGTCCCAACGCCCGAAAGTCAAGATACCAATCTTGCGTTATCGTCTCGTATCGATAACACTCTTGTTGATCGATCAGCATACGCCAGTATTCTTCGAGGGAGTCTTTGTCTCTGACTTCTACTTGTGGCCGTTCCTCACCACTTGAACATGTGCGCCCCAGCGTATCATGAGCAAGCGTCTCTTCCCACATAGCGGTACTTATCAGGTAATCACTCTCTTCAGACCCAGGCTCATATGACAGATGTAGTGTCGGGCTAGGAGAAGGCATCATCGGAAACACCCTCACGACATCATCGAGTACCTGCCCTGTCAACACCAGCTGCTCTAGTCTCGAGCCGCCTAGCAACCGGTGGTATCGCTTCATACGTGCGTACCGAGACGTTCTTCTGTGGCTGGCGTCCATATGTAGATGCAAACGCTCGCAGTCAAGGAAATCTGGTACCCAAGACGGTAGATGCTTTCGCTCATCAATTCTGAATGCCCAGCTGAACCATCCCCATAGGAAACTGCTTCCCTGCTTCCAAGCTGTCTCCAGTATGAATTTGGTAAATCGAGTGAATAAGTCTTCCACTGAGACATAAGCGATGTTTGGATCGAGATAGGTATCTTTTAGATATTTCGGATCAATCAACCCTAACAACCCCAGAATGCGATCCTCAGGTCTGAGATACTGTTGTTGTTGGGTAATCAACATGGCGAATGCCAGAACGTTGGCCTGATAGCTGTCTGCAGCAGGCCCTCTCCAGTTCCAAGCCGTATTCACCGTAGTTCGTAGATAGAACACCGTTCCATCTTGTCGTGATGATCTCGTTTCAACGCATGTAAATCCATCGGATAGATGTAAGAGATGCTCATATGTGGGAAGATCATCCTGGAGGGCCCAAAGGAGCCGTCCGTCTTTGATGGACGTCCTCATAAGTGTCCAGCTTAGCTTGCTGTCCCCGCAAAGAAAACTTATCTTTCGCGCCAAAGTCGCCTCTTGTACAATCCAAAGCCTTCCAAACCAGGCATTGAGGACGATATGATGGAGTGCGGCTTTCAATGAAACATCCAAGGTGTCGAAGTTTCTCTGTACGAGTTCATCGACATATTTTCCCGGTTTGCCGTGCCTTTCATCAGAGACACGTCGAAGAAAGTGAATGGCTTCGGGAATGTGTTCTTGATGCGCTGTAGTTCCGAGCCATACCCAGATCTTCTTCGCTTGTCTATACACCCGGTTCATTTCCCGGATC